TTGCGGTGCTTATATCCCTGCTCCGGTCCCGGCCAGGGAAGCAGCTGACATCTTACGGACGGCGCAGCCCTATGTCGAGCAAAACAACGGCTGTGAGGCCACATGAGCTTGTTTAGGGTTAGGCATGACTGCAGGGTCATTTCGTTGCTGCCTAGCTAAATCAGTTTGAAGCCCTTGACCTTCAATGTTAAACCCTGAACAATCTAGGGTTGGTGTGGGAGGGCTTTTCAGAAACATGTTCAGGGGGTGCTGTTGACTTCGCAGAAGGTCGTCGAACGCGAGTTCGGCTGGAGCCTGGTGGCTACCAGATCCTTTAGCTGGGAGCTCAGTTTGCGCAACAAGGATTTTGGGGTTCTTGGGTTATGTTGTGGCTTATGCAGGGCTTCTGCGTGACCAGACACTCCAAATCCCCAAACCTCACGGAGCTCTAACCCCAACCCCCGAAGTCCTGAACCACACTCCCTAAGAACTCCAAGCCCTCAGCCCTAAGAGATCCTTAACTCCAAAAAGCAAGTCCGAACCAAGAAAGCGAAGGGCTCCCCGGTTCCTATCTTTCAGCGGTCTGATCCGAGGCCAAGGGGAGGTCATCTTGGAGGAGAACCCCGCAACTTGCCGGAGTAGGGTTTTAGACCGGTTTAGGCTTTGCCGGGTTCTGCAGGGTTTACTTTACAGGTCTTCTTCGGGATTTGAGGACTTCGGATAGAGGGGCGGAAGGTCGAGCTAGACTTAGCCCAATGGCCAAAAAATGGTATATAGGATTTCAGAACTTGGGCAATTCAAGACCATGACCCCCCAACTACCCTCCAATATACCCCAATTACCTACCACTAAGGGCCATTAGGGCTCCATTAAGGGGCCGTTGAGAGAGGTCCAGAAGCTGCTATGAATCCCGCAAGCTCCGAGGCCGTACATGGCAGCATGGAAGCTTGGACACGCCAATGCCATGCCTACAGAATTCCAAACCCTAAGCCCTAAACCCTATAAACCCTAAGCCCTAAACCCTAAGCCCTAAACCCTGAACCCTAAGCCCTAAACCCTAAATCCAAAAGCCTTGCGGAAGAGTTCAACAGGAACCACAACAGTGCTAGGCGTGCCGCCTCCATTCTTCTGTGTATGGCTCGCAAGACTGTCCAGCGACCCATAGCTCAAACTACCAAACCCTACTTGTTTGTAGGTTCTTATTATGAACCCTAATATGGAATGTATAGGGACCCCACGAAAAAGTAAATTTTGGTAGGCTAAGGTGAAGGTAGATATAGGCCGAAAGCTCAAAGCCTTAATCGGCAACAAGCCCGGTGCTTAACGCTAAGGGTCCATGCGCATATACTTTGGCCTTCCAGGCCCAAAAGTATCCAAAAAGGGATATTTAAAGGCTACCCATCGGCCCCATAGTAGTTCCTTTTGGGAGTTCATATGTAGAATCCTATAAGGTAACTAATCCCCCAAAAGAACTACTTTGGGGCCGATGGGTAGACTATATACTTTACGGGTACATGGACCCGTAGGGTAATCACGAATCCAAACCACTACGTCCACAGAGCTTGTTTGCGGCGGGGCCGAGCTTTAGGAGCCAGGGTTGCAGGTGTCCTGGGTTTTGCATTTTGGATTCAGGCCGTAGCTTTTGGGGGTTTAGGCTCGTACTCTACTTGGGGTTGCCGGTGTTCAGGGTGTGGGGGCTGTGGGGTTGTGACATTCGGTGTTTAGTACGTACAGTCTTTCTGGAGTTTACACTTTTGAGGTTCCGGGATGATCGCCGAGGTGATGCTTGGTCCTCCGTCGCAGTCGGCCAGTGCCCCTGAAGAGCTTCGGGGCCTTCTGGTGGAGCCCCAGCTCCGCAACATAGCTTCACTCAGCTTGCCCAGAGACTCCAGTATCCCTTAATTATACCTTATAAGTTATAGTAGGATCCCTAATATGATTTAAGGATAATTCCTCAATTAAGGGCTATTGGAGTCTCTAGGCGTATGGCTTATACAGGGGATGCAACACAGGATTTCAAGGCGTTCCAGAGGATGTTTCAGACAGATTTATAGGGCGTTATGGCAGGGGGCTGTAGGCTATAGAGCTCCGATAGCTCTTAGACAAAACAGTGCCTCAGACGAAGGATCCCTGTTTTGAGCAACATCCGTAAGATTGCTGTAGTTCGTGTGTTGTGTTTGGTGGGCCACGGAGGTCGTAATCCAACGACGCGCCCAAAGGCAACACGAAGTCTCTCAGCCTTGTAACTAAGCCCCCTAAACCCTAAACCCTACCTCAGCCCTGAATAACCTACCTTTTTAGGGTTCCTTATTATGATTTCCTGTCCTTAAAAAGGTATATAGGTTATTCCGGGTTAAGGTAATCTATAGGACCACGAAGCCTTTGCCTTGCTTCAACTTCCAAACACCAAAGCGTAAACCCCTGCTTCCCCCCCGCTTCCGAAGAGGCAGGCCTTCGGACTTGCAGGTTCGGCGCTTTAGGACTTTACCATGACCCCCCAACTACCCTCTACTATACCCCAATTACCTACTATTCAGGGCCGTTAGGGCTCCATTAAAGGGCCATTGGGGAGTCCTGGCAGGGTTTGAGGTTTAGGTTTTATACGGTTTGGGACTAGGAGGATTTTGGACCGTGATTACCGGTCGTTTAGGCTTGAAACTTTATCACCAAAATCCCAGAATTCACCCTTCCGACGCTTGCTCTAAGAGTTTTAAGATGCCTTTGCTGCAGTAATCATGTTGAACCCGAGGCCCGAAACCCCGAAGCCCGGATCTTTCGGTTTCGGCTTTGGGGTTTAGGGTTTAAGATTTGGGGTTTAAGATTTAATTAGGATTTAGGGTTGGGGGTTTAGGATTTATAAGGTTTAGGGGATTCAGGGTTTAAGGTTTCGGGTTTGTGGTGCTTGGCAACAAAAGCCCACAGAGGTGCCCGCCCTGCCGACCCTGCACACCTTATGTTCAGGCAGCGCAGACTGGAACTTCGCCCTGCATGTCGCTTTTCCCAGCGAGGTCTTCGCATTCGATGTTTGGGTTTTCATCCCTAGACCCTACCCTAAGGCCCCAAAGTAGTTCCTTTTTGGGGGGGTTCATATTTAGAATCCTATACGTAAGGTAATCCCAAAAAGGAACTACTTTAGGGCCTGTGGGTAAACCCTGTCTACTCAATGAGAGGTTAACGAAATCGCCGAACCTACAACTGCAGACCTTGCCAGGCTTGTCCGAGTGTGAGTGTCAACAACCCTAAACACTGAACTCACTAAACCCGTCAGCCGCGCTGGGGGTGTGGAGTCATGTCCGACGTCCAGCTGTTCCTTGTCCGCAGCACTAGTGGATGATCCCAAGGCAGCATGGGATACCTTCATTCAAGGGGCGTTTTCAGTTTAGCCTAGCGTTGCCTCACGTAGGCACCCATGCCAAACGCTAAGTCAGAAACATCGAGGCCTCTGTCACTGTCCGTAAAGCTAGAGCCCTGTACATCCTACTTTACTTAAACCCCAGCATTTATAAGCTACTTTCAATAGGGTCCCTTCGAAAAGGATTTCTTTCTGTTCGTTCAATACAAGCAGGGAATTATATAACTAAGCAACCTAGAGACAACTCTGCAAAGACCCTTTTAGAGCTACAAACCAAGCACCCGATGACTGCAATTGACCCTAACCAACCAAAACCCGACCTGAAACCGCAAACTCAAGAATCATGTAGCCCCAGAAGCCGAAGCAGGCAAGCCGCCCAGTGCCTGGTACACCGCCGTCAGCAGAATTCCTCACGGAGGACCGCCTTTGCCGAGTTCCTTAGGCCACCGAAACTTCGGGCTCTGCAACAAAATCCTTTTTTTCGGTGCCTAAAGATTCGGGATTTCTAGCCCGATAAGCCACAATCGTGGACACCGAAGGGCTGCGCTGGCCCCTCTAATCTAAGCCTTAGACATAGACGCCTATAGTGACCATCCCTGGCCCAACATTTCGCGGCTTTTTCAGGACTTGTCCATCTTCGCTCCTGGCGACAGTGCCTCGGGCTGCCTTATGGCCTCAGGGTTCGGGATTCGAGTTGGAGGGTCTCGGTGTCATGGAGGTTTAGAACTATATACACAGATGCCTACATGCCTGCCTGGGGAGATTATCAAGTTTCAGCTGCTTGGGCGTCAGACTGTTTGGAGCCCCGCCTTCGTTCGCCATGGTGGTCTGAGCAGCTGGTAACAGCTTCTCATATAGTCCCTAACATCTGTGATATCTGTGCAATATCATGCCAAAGCCGCTTTCCAAACGTTCAGGCCCCCATACTGCTCTCTATGCTTTCTGTTCCGAATCGCTGGCTTCTACTTTACTCCTGGTCAGAGTTCGCTTCTCACGGCCCACGGCCCAAGTCCGAAATGCTAAGCCTCTACACCCCGTGAGGCCTTGAAACCGTGGCTAAATTGAAGGAAGAAGTAAACGACCTTGGCAGTGTCGTTTTGACTCTGGGGCACTAGACACCCGCAGCTTCACGCGTCCTCGGGCAAGGTGTGTTGAATAAAGGGAGAGCATGACAAGAAGTGGCATGGAAAGAAGCAGACCTAAACCCCTAAAACCCCAAGCTCTATACCCTAAACTAAACCCCCTAACTGTTTTGGTAAAAAAAACCCTAAACCCTAAAGAGCACATTGCATCGCTCTGAAATGCCGTCGCACTTTCGATGGTGTCGACGGCGTTTGCAAAAGAAGTTCCTTCGACCTGCAAGGCCAACCTGTTAGGGTTTAGGGTTTAGGGTTTAGGAGTCCTTGCATGCGCTGACACCAATTGGGGTTTAGGGTTTATAAGGGTCATACTATTTTCAACGGCCGCAAATATTTTACTATACTATGCGTATCGTATAGTACTGTAGTTTATATAGTACATTATAGGATTTCAACCTTGAAGACCTGGTGACACCTGCCGACGCCGGGCATACCTAGCCGAGCCGCTCGCGATTGCCCTTCTTTGGATCAGTTGCATTAGCAATCACTCACGGCCCATGTTCGGATTCTACGCTCACGCTTGTGACGCCATGGCTTTGGAACTCGAGTACCGCAACACCTTCATCGACGTGAAGGAGGAGATCCAAGATGAAATGCAGGCTTCCGGCAACCGCGCTCGCAGCTCCCCACCGGGTCGCGTGCGCCGCAGCAGCTTCGCCAGGGAGATGAACGACGACGAGGCCGCCCTGCGCAGCTATGTGGGAGGCCTCGCGCAGAACGCGTGGCCTCAGAGTGGTCAGATCTCTAGCCTGGCGGATCCCTCTCCGAGTCCAGGGTGCGCTGTGGCCGGTGTGCCACACCTCCTGCAAGAGCAGATGCATATGGATGTGCTCAGTGTGGGTAGCTGGGGTCACCCCGACGTGTGCCGTCGCCCTTGCATTCACTTCATTTCCGGCAACTGCGAGAATGGTAAGGATTGTGCTTACTGCCACCTTCCGCACACGGAGAAGATGGCCAAGCTCGACAAGAGGCAGCGTGCTATGGTTCAACAGCTCAACCACCCAGAGCTGGTATCGATGGTGCTCCCTTTCTGCTACCGCAAGGCAGAGGACGGGGGATATGCGGACAAGGCAGAAGAGATTCTCGGTCTTCTGGAGATGGGTTTGGATCACGCCACGTCATCGTCCGAGTCCCGGCCCTTGGCCGACCGTGAGCTCCGAAATCTGCGCAAGACACTTGCAAGGATGCTGGGTTCTCATTAAAGTGTTGTATTTTAAGTTTTCATAACAAGTAAACCATATATTACTTACTAGAGATCTTTATTATGGTAACTTAAATTAAATTCCTTTAACAAGAACCCAGGATGAGCTTCTCGAGCCTCATCGGCTTGGTTACCCACAGGTCACCTGACCAGGATGAGGACTGAGTTTTCCTTAACAGCCGCCGTCTTCGTTGTAAGAGCAACCCAGGCGTTAAACCCCGACCTCGAACCACATGCGTCGCCTGGATTGCCCGAGCGTGAGCGCCGAAACCCTTCATGAAGCGAAGTCGCTTATTGTCGATCGAATTGGCTCCCTTCAGCATATAGGCAGCATAGAACTCCCAAACAAGCCTGATGAATTCCTAAACGACGTTCGGATGACGGAGCCCTTGGAGGAACTTGAAAGGAGCCCTGAAAGGTACTGTAATGGGGTATATGGGGTGCTAGAATAGGGTGGTCCCCCTTTCAGGACCCTAAAAGAAACCGTAAGGGAACCCATATATGGATTCCTTTAAGCGTTCCGTTAAGGACCCCAACTCTATATATACCCTACTATACAATCCTACCTTTACAGGAATCTAGATATGGTATCCCTACAATACCCGTTAAAGTGTTCCCCTATAGATCCCTATAATAGAGACCCTATTGCAGAACACTGTAGTACCCTATAAGGGTTCCTTTAAGGGCCCCCTTTGAGGACCTAAACCCTCAACCCTAAACGCTATCATGCAGTGTGTTGGCAGAGACCTTTCGGACGTTTTCCCTGCGGTGCGATCTTTCAGCTGAGCGGGTGGGAAGAAAGCTATTATAGAACCTACAAGGGCTCCTTTGTTGGTTCTATGATAGGATCCCCCCTTCAGAGCCCTGTTAGGCTCCTTTAAGGGTTCCCCCATCATAGTTCCCTTGTAGATCCCTTGAAAGGGGCCCTAGAAAAGCTTCCCTTGAGGACCCAACTCTGCAGGCGGCCTTGGATACCCTTCGCTCCAGTTTCGCTCCATGCGGCACCAGGGCTCCGCCGTGATGTGGGGCGCCCTAGGGTTTACCTTAACCTTGAAATGACCTACCTTAATTTAGGGTTCCTTATTATGAGTTCCTTATAGGCTTAAGAAGGTGGTTATTTCCGGGTGAAAGTAGGGTTTATAGGGTTAGGGATTATAGGGTTATAGTTATAGGGCTTAGGAGCTTGGGGTTAAGGATGTGGTAGGGGCGGAGGTCCTTCAAATCTCAACGAGCTGCTTGCAGCGTCGTTTTGGTGGCACATGGAATGGCCGAGACTTCATGAACGCATGTTTCCCGAGAGGGGTCGACTGCATGTTCACTCTCGGGCCTGTGCCGCAAGTTTTGGAAACCACGGCTGATCCGAAGTGAGCAGATCTAATCAAATATCTGCCAGGTTTTGGTAATTCTTGGTACATGGGCGAACCCAGGGACTTCGATACTCATTGAGTTGTAGTACTGATCTGCGAGTGGCCCTCAGTGTAGAGACATTACAGCCTCGTTTTGAAATCCATCTCCTTCTGAATTCGAAGCTTGGTCAACCGAAAAGTCTACACGGGAGCCCCGAACAAATGCCATTGCTTTCACTCTTTTCCCATTAAACTGGCCATGGACAAGTTCCACGAAACAGTCGGGACACTATCGCCTTGATCGGAGTCTCTGGGTCATTGAAAGGGCCTAGCCCCAAGGGTCCAAAGGACCCAATAATTAGGTATTCGGTTTTAGGATAGTAGTTATGTAGGTTAGGATTTTGGAGAGTATATGATTATTAGGTACTTGGACCCTTGGGGTAGCTTCCTGTGAACGGGGGGCTCTGGGCTTGCCCTGTCCGCTCACGGCCATCATCCCCGCGCTGCGGACCCGACCTGTGGCCCTAAGCCTCACATAATGGGTTTTTGTTCCGGGGCCTTCATAGTTAGAATATCCTTTAAAGAACTTTAAAGGGGTCTACAAGGGGCTTAGCCTCGGGTGCGGACATGGGAGTTTCCGAAACTTAGGGGTACCTTATTAATTTGTTGTCCTTATAATAGGGATCCTACTATTCGGGGTACTCTATTAGGGCCCCCTATTTTCGGAAACTTCTACACAGTAGTAGGTCATGACTCCTTCACCAATTGCAGACCTTACAGCAGTAGGCTATCAGCTCCAGAAGTCAAGCCCTAACCCTGTTGGTTTGGGCTTGCAGGGCTTATAGGGTTCACCGCGCAAGTGCCCATGGGCAGCCCTACCTATTACGGCATTTGGGTCCTCAGACGGTACACCTCGACCATGTGGAGTGTGTGTGTGTGTGTGTCTGGATGGTTAGGGTACGATGCCGGACCACTCCAACGGTACAAGAACATGGGCAGTGATTTCACAACGCAACATTCGTCGAGATAGCAAGGCATCTTAGACCCCCAAACCCGAAAGAAAGACGTTAGATGACGAGAGCGTTTTGGCCATCAGTCGCCAAGGTTGGAATGTTCGAGGGCTTCGAGGCTTTGGGATGATGGTGTTTCAACTTTCGGTTGTACGAGTCCCAGGTCTAACGAAGTGAACGGATGTTGATCGCGCATGAAAATCCTTCATAGGTTCGATCTGTAGGGGGTTGAGGTTTCGGAGCCTCGGGCTTTGCATATGTTGGTTCAGGTTCCTGTGCTAAGGTGTGCCCTACCGCAAGTTCTCGTACCATGTTTAAGACTTGTGCAGAAATCATAGTACCATCGAGGGCGGTTTGACAAATGGTACAAGGTTCAGAGTTCGGGTAGGCCCTATAGCTGTAGCTTTTCCGATAACAATTTTGGGAGCCGGGTATTCAGGATATGTTGCTGCTACGTAGAGTAGGCAACCTTTAACCTTTTTTGGGCAGTATAGTCCCTATATAACCCCTGTATAACCAAAAAGGTTAACCTTTAGTTCCAAATGATACCTGACAAGTAGGTTTGGGTTTAGAATTGGGTTCGCGAAATGCGGGCGGATCTTGGCAGAAAGAGTTGATTGGACAGGCATTGTGGCATGCCACCCATGCCATCCTCGGCAGAATGGGATATTCCGATCACAGCCGTGCTGAAGTGCTGATGGCAGCAGAACGGGAAAAGCGGTGATTGAAACATATGCCCTAAAGTCTAAACTCTATAAACCCTTAACCCTCAACCTTGAAGCTAAGTTACAATAAGGTTTCGGCCTTGAAGTCTCAATCTACGGCCCTTGCAGTGTCCGAGTTGCGAAACGCCAAACCCTAAGCCCTAAAAAAGCCCTATAAGCCGCTATCTCGAAATCTCTCGAAATCATTGCGGAAGGGGATTGTGGGGTCGGCGATCGAAGCCCTGAACCGTTGTGGCGTGTTGGGTTTAGGGGTTGGGCTGTATCGAATCAAGTCCCAGACGCCCCCTTGCCCCACCCCCCACCTCCCCACCCCCCGCCCCGCAACCCCCCTAAATTTTCAGGTGAAACCTAATGAGCCTCCTCCGTGTTTGTTTTAGTCTCGGCCGCTGTTTGCATCCCAAAGAGAAACGAACCGTTGTTGTAGCATATCACCAAGTGTTGGCATAGTTCCTGGGGATTTTGGGGATTTAAAGACAAGGTTCCGTTTAACATACCCAAACCAAAAAATGTCGTTAAAATATGAATACGAATGCAGATCTTGGGCTGTTGCATAAGAGGGTAGGATGAGTAGACAGCGCATGCCATTCTGCTGAGACATGGCTCATTCGAGCTTGCACGAAAAAGCATCCCAAGACAATCAAGATGCTCATAAGGTGGAAGGTTTGGGGCTTGTGGTTTGGGAGAGTTACCACCAGTAATGTCTTTCTACTGTATCTTCGGGTTGCTTTTCCAGTTTTCGTGAGAGAGAGTGAACGGTGCTTGCTTTCAGCCATCGTTTCTCTCAATCCACCACGTTTAGTGCGGCCAGTTAGATGCGTGGACCGACAACAGGTCTGTGCGGTTGGCTGAAGTGTTTATGCCACTCTGACTCTGATATAAGTGCGCGGCAGCTGTTGGCTGTTCCACGTGCTTTCCGACTCCTGGGCGCTGTGAACCAGATGTTTGTAATATGTAGGGCCTATTTTGGGGTTCCTTACTATAAACAGTATAATGGGCCCCAAACCCTATTCTACTACATTAAGGTTCCTATACTATGCAAGCCGTCGCATGGGCGCAGGCAGACCTTCTAATCTCAGTCAGAGATCCCGGGACCGATCATTTTCCAATGCTGATTTGAAGGGCGCTGTCCACCGGAGTCTGGTCCAGCGCACAACGCTGGCCATCTGGCTCTCGTGACAGGGATAGCTCCCTATCGTCGATGTCGATGCCTTCGTGCGAGGGCGTTTTTGCTTTGTTATCGAGGTATATGTCGGGAGTTGTCAGAAGAATGATAGGGGCCTGCATGGATCTGAAGAAGTGGGAGTCATACCATCCTTATACCGCTCTTAGTAGACATCTCCAGTATAGTAAACCCAAGAAGTTTTGTAAGAATCAAGAAGCACCATTTTTACTCTTACGAGTAGGCGTCTCTTTGGCCAAACTCCCACACATTAGGTCTAGATTGGAACTCCAGGAAGAGACCAATATTGCATGTTGCGAAGGCACGGCACCAGGGCTTGCCAGTGCTGATTCCCTAAACCCTAAACCCCCTAGTACGTAGGACCTTTATGCTCTATTTGGCATTCGGCTTGGTTGTTATAATTCTTTGCCACAGAGATCGGTATCAAGTTTCAAAAATTTTCAACATTTAATGGCTTCTAAAATCTTTAAAATTTAATTGGCCGGCCAATTAATTTTTAAGGATTTTCAAAATTTTAATGGCCTTAAAATCTTTAAAATTTAATTGGCCGGCCAATTAATTTTTAAGGATTTTCAAAATTTTAATGGCCTTAAAATCTTTAAAATGCTTAAAATTTAAATGGGCCAAGGTTTGGGCTTTGGAAAAGTTAGCAAACCATTAAATTTTTAACAAATTTTAAAATCTTTAAAATTTAATTGGCCGGCCAATTAATTTTTAAGGATTTTTAAAATTTTAATGGCCTTAAAATCTTTAAAATTTAATTGGCCGGCCAATTAATTTTTAAGGATTTTAAAGAATTTAAGGCCATTAAATTTTTAAAAATCCTTAAAAAAAAATAATTGGCCGGCCAATTAAATTTTAAAGATTTTAAAATTTGTTAAAAATTTAATGGTTTGCTAACTTTTCCAAAGCCCAAACCTTGGCCCATTTAAATTTTCAGGATTTTAAAGAATTTAAGGCCATTAAAATTTTAAAAATCCTTAAAAATTAATTGGCCGGCCAATTAAACTTTAAAGAATTTAAGGCCATTAAATTTTTAAAAATCCTTAAAAATTAATTTGCCGGCCATTTAAATTTTAAAGATTTTAAAGATTTTTAAAAATTTAATGGTTTGCTAACTTTTCCAAAGCCCAAACCTTGGCCCATTTAAATTTTAAGGATTTTAAAGAATTTAAGGCCATTAAAATTTTAAAAATCCTTAAAAATTAATTGGCCGGCCATTTAAATTTTAAAGATTTTAAAGATTTTTTAAAAATTTAATGGTTTGCTAGTTTTTCCAGAGCCAAGGGTAGCAATCTCTGTGGCAATGAATTGCATATTCTGTAGCTCTTAAACCGTATAGTGTCGATATTACTAATGACCAGTGCTGATTGCAGACCATCGAGAACATGGACAACATTGACATTTGGTCGACGCCTTACTGTGTTTGTTTTGTTTGATCTCCCCGTTGTGGCTGTATCGGCCGCCTCGGGTGCCTGTGGCTGTTATCGGCCGCAGGCGGGTTGTGGCTGCATCGGCCGCTTCCCAACTGCCCCTTGTTTGTCCTTGTGTTTTACTTCTCGTTTTTTCCTCCATTGGTTCTGATAAGTGCGGTTCCTCTCAGACATGTCGCAACTGTGATTGACACGCTAGTCTGTACGTATGCACGCGCACAATTCCCATATGTATATATACGGATCGATGTTATGATGTGTAATGTACAAACACACAATACACAAGCGGAGACATCCGCATAAACTTAAACACGTCCGCCATGTCAC